AACACACACAGTTGCAAAGAGTGACTCCAAATACAAATGTCCACTTTGGGCACCTTTTCCCTGTAGTTGCTTTGGAGTACAATTCCCATCAGCGTCCAGGCTCATGGAGAGCAGTGTGGTGTAGTGGTTAGGGTGTCAGACCTGAGAGACCACCTCAAAGCCCACTGGGTGACCTTCAGCCAGCCACTCCCTCTCACTGGCCTTCCGGCCTTCCTCCCCGCCCCCTCGAGTGATGCATCCTGACACAGCAGCTCAGTGGTGCTTCCAAGCAGCCCCTCGGGCGACCCAGAGTGCCTCATCCATTCCAGGAACCTCTCCTGAGTCAGCCACACAACCGGCCAGATGCCCAGATGGCCCTCAGCCAGAGTCCCGGAGGAGTCAGCTGCCCGGAAGGCCCCTGGAGCCAGCCCAGAATTGCCTCCGGCTCCTGCTCTGAGCAAAGAGGAGAGAAGGGGACGGGGTGCCTGCTTCTTTTGCCCATTTAAGGCTCCAGCCAAATCAGCCTGAACCTGCACAGAATGAGGAAGCCTCTGGATCGGGGCCAGCAGGAGAGGAGGAAGAGCCAGAAGGCAGGCCTGGGCATCCAGCCAACACCAGGATTCAAGAGCCTCTGCTTTCCTTTAGGAGAAGAAAACAAGGTTCTAGAGTAGACCTCATGGCTGCAGAGAATTTTGAAGTGGCTGCATTTGCTATTGCATGAGGCAAAGAAACGACACAACATCAGAGTCAGCCTGCAGCAGAATGGAAGTCCCTGGGATCCCCAAGTGGGGATAGTTGCTGTGGCTCGCAGGTCCTGCTTCCAAGCGGAGTCTCAGATTGGCCACTGGGAGGACTTGAGGCTGGCAGTGTTAAAAATCGCCCAGGCATCAGGTGTGCTTTGCAACTGGCGAGGGTCCAATGGTGACCACATGGAGATCTCTGGGCACCAGGTTGGAGACTCACATCTCCATCTGGCTAGTCCCTCCAGCTTCCTTAAGCAGGTCAGCAGAAAAGCTCATTTACTGCATTTATATCCCACTTTGGAGAAAAGAGTCCATGGTTCACCCTCTCCTCAGTTAATCCCTACAATGACCCTGCGAGGTAGGCTAGGAAGCTGGGACCGACTCAAAGGAACCCGTGAGCTTCATGATAAAGTGGGAATTTGAACCCTGATCTCCCAGGTCCTAGTCTGACATTCTCAACACTACGCCACACTGCCTTCCTAGAGCACTTCTGCTATGGGGCAGCTCTATAAATTAAGCAGGTAAAAAAATATGAAGAAAGCAGAATGTCACCTAGGGAAGGGTGTGAAATATTTTCCTTGAAGCTTGAATTTGTTTTGTTGTGGATTGTTTTATTTGATGGTCTAATGTGTTGTCAACCACTTTGAGATTATTTCTTTAAAATATAAAGCCATACAGAAATTAAATGAATAACAAGAATAATAATCCCCATCGCAAAAAAGGCACTCAGGCATTCCATTGTGGCGACTGCAACTGAGGTTAATTTGGCAATTAACATATATCTAAGTTTCTCACACTGCACTCTGGTCCTGCTTCCCATTGGGGGGGGTGTCTCTGGTTGTCCACTGGGGGGGGGGGACAGGAGGCTGTCTGCATGGGCTCCCTTTGGTCTGACCCTGCTGCACCCGGGTTCTTCTTACGTTCACATAGCTCTGAATTCAGAAAGACAGCCTTCACCAACACATTCTTCAGAGCAGAATTGAGCTGGGCACAACCCTGGCAAATGGAATGTTTCTCTCCATGGCCAGAGCTTCTCGGGGACCCAATCCCTGCGTGCGACCTGATGCGGAGCCTCTGAGGCAAGCAGCGCCTTTCGCCCCAGCAGCCAGCTGTGTCCCCAACAGGTGTGCTTGGCTCCCACCTCACAATGCACCTTGCGGAAGAGGCTGGGCCACACCCTTGAACAAAACGCAGGCCCTGCAGGTATGGCGAGGCAGAGCAGGAGCAATTAAGAGCAATTAGCTCTCAGAGGGCAATTAGGAGGAGAAGGGATTCTGCCAGGATCCTTCAAATGGCACTTGCCTCGCTGCCTGGGTTTCACTTGCCAACTGGAGCTCTGCCCCCCTGAACCCCAGGGCACAGCGACACAGCCTCCATCGCAAAGACTCGAGTGACTCCAGTGACAAAGGCATGACACTTCTTCGGCTGGAACCCTCCAGCTGGGGGTGGGGGCTGATGGTCTTTTGGGGCAAAGGGGCCACATTCTGAATTTTTAGCTACTTACAAGGGCGGCACTGGTCCCAGAACCACTGCAGCCTCACACAACAGAGAGTGTGCAGTCGCAGTGAAGCTTTCCTCATCACTGGGTCATTGGTAGGAGGAATGGTGCCTAGATCCTCTGTGGCACCCTAATCTAGGTTTAAGGTGCCGTATGCTCCAGAGCAGAGGAAGAAGGCCAAACAGAGATAGGGAAGGCTCGCTCTGCCTTCTGGGCCAGGGGGTGGCCCGGAGGTCTGGTGCTTTTGAAGGGGGTGCCGCACACCCGGAACACCGATTTTAGAGCCATGTTCTCGTCCGTCCTCACTCTGCCACCTTCCCCACAGCTCACCACCCATTCCTGAACAGGCCTGACTCCCCGCAAGAGCCCTCCCCAGACCAAGCCACCCCACATGCTTCAGGTTCCTCTCCCCATTTCGCCCCCGCTCCTTCGCTCTCTTCCTGGCTCCCTCAACCAAGCCACAAATCAGCCCTGCTCCCTTTGCAAACACACACAGCTTCTTAGCCCCAAAAGTGCTATTTCTTAGGAGCCAAATATACACTCCTTTTTTAAAAAAAGAGAAAACTGACAAAAGCTGCGCTCGCTCTCTCTCTCTGGGTTTTAACGCTCCTACGAAGCCCTCTGAGGTATTTAAATGCAAGCACAACTCATGCTCAAACATCTGTATGTTCTCCTTGCTGCATGGAATGAGCCCTGAATGGAAAGTGCTCAAATCAAAGGCTTTAAAAATGGAAGAAGCATCAACAGGGAGCAACATAACATTCACATGTGGCTGCGCACTCACATCTTATTTTTACTTGGAAGCAAGCTCTGCCAATCCCGAAGGGACCTACTCTCAAGCGTGAACACAAGAGGACAACCTTATTTTTTTACATGGGCAATATGGAAGAAGGCTCTTGAAAAACCAACAAGATGATACGGAAATTGTGGTAAGCCTGGATGGACAATTGCCTTCCTACATGAAATTACAGTGGTACCTCGGGTTACATACACTTCAGGTTACATACGCTTCAGGTTACAGACTCCGTTAACCCAGAAATAGTACCTCGGGTTAAGAACTTTGCTTCAGGATGAGAACAGAAATCGTGCTCTGGCGGTGTGGCGGCAGCAGGAGGTCCCATGAGCTAAAGTGGTGCTTCAGGTTAACAACAGTTTCAGGTTAAGAAGAGACCTCCAGAACGAATTAAGTACTTAACCTGAGGTACCACTGTATTTTAATTTTAAAACAAAAACACACACAACTTGCCAGTCTAGCCTGGCAAATCCCACATTCTGACAGCATATGATGAGTATACAATTAATTTCATTTTTGATTGCTGCAAGCCTCTTGCTTGGGAAAACTTTGCTACCTAACGTGAATTGGGGAGGAGGAGGTTGTTTTGTAAGCAAATAAAAATCCATCTCAAACAGAGAGAAAGAGGGAGAGCTTATGCACAAGACATAATAAAAATCTGAATAGAACGGCCTTCCGCTGCTCTTCTGTTTTATGTTTTCATCTTATCTTGCTTGTAGGTTTATAAAGGCAGAGCTCAGTAGCAGAGAGACTGCCTTGGAAGCAGGAGGCCCCACATTCAAGCCCCAGCGGCATCTGCAGGAATGGATGAGAAAGATCCCTGCCTGAATCCCTGGAGATCCAATGCTGCCAGTCAGTGCAGGCATTACTAATTTATGTGGACTAAGGGTATGACTCCATAGAAATCAGCTCCCCATCTTCCTCTATCTAGCCCTTTCTCCCTCCAAGGAGTGCAAGGTAATGGATATAGTTCTCACCCTACCCCTTTCATCCACACAACAACCCTGTGAGGTAGGTCAGGGTGAGAGATGGGGTGTCTGGGCCAAGGTCATCGTTTCAGGCTGAACAGATATTTGAACTGTGGTCTCCACATCCTGGTCCAGCACTCTGAAGTTACCACAGCCAGCAATGTTATAAACTCAGGTATATAAACTAACCTCCAAAGGGCACCTTAAACAGAGCTTGCGGTTGCCGCAAGAGAATGCCCTAGGCACCATCTTTTTGCAATGGCAAAAATGGAAGGTCAGGGATCAAATCCCCACTCCATCCTGAAGCTCCCTGGGGGACCCTGGGTCGGTCTCAGCCTCTTCACCTACCTAGAGGGTTGTTGTAGGGATTAATGGAGGAGGGTATGAACCATGCACTCCTTGCAGAAAAAGGTGGGAGACCAATGCAGTAGATAAGTTTTTCTGCTGACCTGCTTAAGAAAGCTGAAGCTGCCAGTCAGATTAAGATGCCAGGATACAAATTCAATAAATACTTAACCAAACACTAAGTTGCATCCAACAAATCAGTCCTACTCAAATGGGCCAAGTCAGTGGCCTCCCTTCTTCCCAGTGGGCCTCCTCTTCTCCCTCCTTCTCCCTGTATGGCTAACTTTAGATATACAACCCTTAATGTCAAAACGTTTCCAATGAGCGAGTGTCAGTGTAACGCTGAGAGGAGCGAGAATCATACTGGTATGATGATGGTCCAATATTGCTTTGCTTCCTGTATATGCATATACTTCCCGAGGCAGAAAAGGCATTTGTAGAATACTATACCTATATACGTAGACCCCTATATATATATACACACACACACACACACTTGGCTGAAGACAAAGCAAACGTACACACACACACAAATAAATGCAAATACTACTAAACACACAAGTTGGGATACATAGCAGGAGGGAGACCCAGTTATCTGATGGAAAAAGGCGGGACACATATCGCCCCCCCTTTGGCTTAGGGGAGAGACCCCCCCTCCCGGCCCCCCCCCTCACCGTCTCGCACGGCCCTCAGGACCGCCGCGCGGAGCCCGCCTCGTCCGCCGCCGGCGCCGAAGACGACCACGAGGGAGAAGCGGGGCTCGGCGGGGGCCGCCAGGGGGGCTCCCCCTCCCCCTCTTGCTCCTCCAACGGCCGCTGCTCCCGCCGCCATCTTGTGAGGCGCCCGCTGGCCCCGCCCCCCGACGCCCCACCCTCGGAGGCGCCTCCCGCGCACCGGCGCCCGCCAATGAGGGGAGCGCAGGGGCGGGGCCTGGAGGGAGGGGGCGGGGCCGGCGGGGCATGCGCGGAAGGGTCACAGCTGCGCTGCGTGTGGGAAGGAGGGGCGCCTCCTGAGCATGGGCAGAGTGCTTTCTGAATGGCAAACGAGTGTTTTCTTTTTTAAAAGAAGGTGCCCTTGCGTAGAATGACAAAAGTTGCCTCCTGCATTGTTGGTCATACTCAGAGTAGAACCACTGAACTCAACAGCTGACTCACTTCAATCCAAAAAAAATTCCTTCCAGTAGCACCTCAAAGACCAACTAAGTTAGTTCTTAAGTTAGTTCTAAGTTAGTTGGCCTTTAAGGTGCTACTGGAAGGAATTTTTTTTGTTTTGACTATGGCAGACCAACACGGCTACCCATCTGTCACTTCAATCCACTAATTTCTGACTGCAGCCCCCCGAGGAAGCCTGTTCTCCTAAAGGCGTGCAGAGAACGGGCGCCCCTCAGCATGTGCAGAGGCCCCAACAATGGAGCATACGCAAAGTAGACCGAAGGAAAACTTCCCCGCCGGGCTGCGTGCGCCGCAGGATCAGGCCCTTTCTCCCGGCAGGAGACCACCCAGACTCCCTCTCCAATCAGATTCCTCCTCGGGCTATTAAAATCCTCCCTCGGGACTAGCAGCCGAGAGGAGCATTTGGTTGTGTGTGAAATCCCTCGGAAAATGCCTTTTTGGGCGCTGCTCCTCCTTTTGGGGGCGACCCTGGTCGGTCCCTCGGACGCCGCGGGGTCTTTTTGGGAAGTCACTTTGCCCACCTGCGACGAGCAGAGCCTCGCTTTCCTCCTGCTGCCCCAACCGAAGGTCTCCTCATCTCTTATAAGGCTGCTGGGTGAGTAAAGGGGCGGGAATTCAGCTTTTTTTCAAAGAAAGAAGAATTTTAAACCCACTTTTGCAAGAATCCCACAAACTGGGGGCAGGGGCCTGGTTGGTCTGAGCTTCTTGCAAGGTCTGGACAACAGCAATGGTGTAAAAATGTATTTATTATTATATATTAATAGTCATAGAGCAGTGGCTCCCGAACCTTCTTGGAGACCCTCTGTCCCCTTAGTCCCCTAAACTTGCCCCCAGGGCCCTCCGCACTTTGAAAAAGCATTATTCCAATAGTACTATGCGCCACAAAGTGCAAAACAGTGACCATTAACTCATAAATCCAACTGAAACTGCTTAGTCTAATTCACCAAAAATTAGGCCCTTAGCTGTGATTTCTGCGCTGCAGGAGGTTGGGATGGATGGATGACCCTTGGGGTCATGGCTCTCCAACAATGTAATTTGGCACTGTGCCCTTTGCTTTTCCATCCTGCAAGGCTTTTGAAAGCCTCCTTAGGGACTACCTCCAGAAATGAGTATTTGGGTGAGCAGCTTCACTGCAACTGGGGACAGACGGAGGCAATATTTGGCTTACTCAGAGGAGCCTCACTGGAACCAATGGTCCTAAATTGGTTGTGCCCGTTTTCCAAAGGGTCTACTACTACAAATATTTGAGGTCCTCTGTTCATTTGCATGCAGGAACGAATGTCTGTTAATTCCAGTGGGGTTACTCTTGAGTAGGGCTTGCTTTGCAGAGCAGCTGGGGGGGGGGGATAACTTGAATGTAATAAATAACAGCAATGCAGATAAAACACCAGGAGGGAAAGAGTCCCAGGTGTCTACTCAGAAGTAAATACTGCTAAGCTTAGTGGTGCTTACTTCCAAGTAAACTGGGTTTGCATCCTGACCATGAGAACCAGGACCCAGGAACCTATTTAATAGAAAAACAACTGCCCATTTGAACCTCCACTGAAGCATTTATTCTCTAAAGTAAATTATTTCTCATATTTAATTAATATGATGTCTATTAATGAGCGGACCACTCTCTTCCTCGCCAAGTGGGAGGGTCTGTATTTCTCCAGGGACGCCCCACCCCAAGAAATACAGACCCCCCCCACTCTGGGCAACAAAGCAAAGGAAGCACACACCCCCATTGGCTGCTAGGAAATCCCAAAATCCACTCATTTGTTATTCCCTATATTGGGGTATCTTAAAATAAGCTAGCAAGCTTCGGGGTTCTGCAGAGTTCATCAGGCTCGATTGTAAAGCAAACCTCTACGATTGTGGGCTGGGGTAATAATTTGTGGAACGACAACCTGTTTGGCAAAAGCTTCTTCTCTCCTCCCCCAAATAAGATCCCAAAGGTAACCCCCATCTTCTGAAGAACGACTCTACCTGTGGGACTTCTGCCTTCCCCAATCCGGATGGCTCTGTAGTGGTGAGGGTGGCCTTTGATGGGTGTTACACCAGAGCGCAGGTAAGGTCTCGGCTTGCACACCTGCCCCCGCCCCACCCTCCAACTAGTAACATATACATAACTCTCCCTCCCCCCAACAACCCTGCGAAGTAGGACCACAAGTGTTGTGGTTGTCCTGTGAGCTTCGTGGCTGGGCAGGAGGAGTGCTTGATTAAGTAACCCTACGCCACTTAAAGCACATTCATCCCCCCCCCCAAATACTGGGAACTGTGGTTTGAGGGCACTGGGAACCGTAACTCTCTAGGGGTAAACTAAAGTTCCCAGGGCTCTTTTGGGCTGGAAAACAATACATCTTGAAGGTTGGTAAAGCGTGAGACTCTTAATCTCAGGGTTGTGGGTCCAAGGCCCACGTTGGGCAAGAGGTTCCTGGATGACCCTCCAGGGACCCCTTCGAGCTCTGATTCTAGAAAGCTAGAAAAATGAAATAATGACGCCAACATCTTCTCCCCACTAGGATTCCCGCTACCGGACGACCGTCCACATTGAAGGCCTGGCGGCGGATGGACGGATGACCTCCTACAAAGAGGAGCTGAGCTGCCCCGAACCTCTCCTAGGTACCCCGTGGAAGGGCTTTCCTTGGGGGTTTCTGGGGGCAGAGGCTTCCTGACCCTGCTGGGGTCACTCCCCTGCCTTCAGGCGCCACGCCCAGAAGAGCGTGCCACGGGTGTAAAGTATCACAGTGACCCCCAAAGAATCCTAGGAACTGTAGTTCAAGGGTGCTGAACATGGCCAGGACCTCTTCCCCACCCTGAGGGCTTCAGCAGTCAGGCCCTCTGCACGGGGAGCTCTGGGAATGGTAGTTCTAGGAGGAGGCGAGAGGGCTCCTAACCAATCTCAGCGCCCTGAAGGAACTACAGCTCCCAGGATTATTTCAGGGAAGCCATTCCTGGCGACTATTCAGACAGGCCTGTGCCCCATGATTTTGGGGGGTATTTTGCTGGTGCTTCTGCTACTGCTTCTGTTGTTTTGTGTACACAACACAAAGTGCCACACTCTAATATTCAAAATAACCCACACAACCCTCACTCTGTTCTTCTCAAAGTGCAGCTTTCAAATATCCAGACAAACCAAATGGCTGGCTCCCCTTCCCCCTCAACCCTCTGGATGCTGTGCTACAACTCCCAGCACCCGCCCCCTGCCCCGGCTGTGGCTCCTCAGGCTCCTCCTCCGCCAAGCCCACCATCCAGTCTACTGCGCCGCCAGTGGCCGATGGGCTTTGTAGTCCGCTGCCTCTGCAGTCTGCTGCCTGAGGCTGGGCTGAGCTCCTGTGGGGCAGGTGAGCTCATAAAGGGGGCCGGGGTTGCCGTGGGAGAAGCCTGCCCTGATTGGGGGCCAGGGGTGACTTGCCAGAGGAAAAGCCCCCGGCCCCATTTCTCCCTCGGGGTCTTGGCCAGGATGTTCCTCCTGGACCTCTTGGCGACTGTACTGCTGGCCCAGGGGCCTTGCGGGGCTCTGGCCTTTGCTCCGAAGGTGGGCGACGTGGGCAAGCGAGGAAGCCTGGCTGACCCCCAGGTGCTGCTTTGGGGTAAGGCTTTACTCGCCAGGTGGCTCCCCGCAGAAACGCCCGGCTGCCAGATTGGCAAAAGCCGCCCAGTGAAAAACTAGCTGGGGAGTTTTCAAGTTTCTAGTCCTTTGTGAGTGCAGGAGTGCCGCCACTTGCCTTGAAGGCGCCCCAAAAGAGCTGGAGAGAGGGACTTTGGGTTTGGCATGGGGTTGCCCCAAAAGCAACAAACCTCTCTCCTTGAAACGAGGCTCTGAATCTCCAGGTAACGGGTTCGAGTTGGGCGAAAGATTCCTGCATTGCAGGGGGTTGAATTGGATCACCCTCACCCTCAGGGTCCCATCCAGCTCTACAATTCTGTAACAATGGGATAGTGCTGTAAATAGACCATCCTGTGCACCACCATAGCTTGGAGTTTAACTCCTTTTTGCTAATTATTTTTTATTGATTTTCCATAATTTTAAACAAATTATCACCAGATTAGTAAAAATTTAATACAAATTTAAGAGCTGACTGCTCCCCAGTTTATTCTTTTCCCCTCCCTCTGTTGCTGCTCCAGATCCAATAGCTTTTCCAACTTCCATTTCAAAATCCACTCATCCCTTCTCCCTGCACATCGCCTGTAATGTGCCAGTTTTATCCATTATTATATCCTGGCCCTCAAAATAGTTGAGTAGAGTCAATCCTCTTTTATCTATCTGTAATAGTCATCAGGGGACGCGGGTGGCGCTGTGGGTAAAAGCCTCAGCGCCTAGGGCTTGCCGATCGAAAGGTCGGCGGTTCGAATCCCCACGGCGGGGTGCGCTCCCGCTGTTCGGTCCCAGCACCTGCCAACCTAGCAGTTCGAAAGCACCCCCAGGTGCAAGTAGATAAATAGGGACCGCTTACCAGCGGGAAGGTAAACGGCGTTCCGTGTGCGGCTCTGGCTTGCCAGAGCAGCGATGTCACGCTGGCCACGTGACCCGGAAGTGTCTCCGGACAGCGCTGGCCCCCGGCCTCTTGAGTGAGATGGGCGCACAACCCTAGAGTCTGTCAAGACTGGCCCGTACGGGCAGGGGTACCTTTACCTTTAATAGTCATCAAGTCCATCTTAAATCATTTGCCTCCCAGACCTCTGTCAGGGGCAGAGTTTTGTGTTTTAGGTTCTGCCAAATGCATCCAGTAGGCTGGGGTGGGGGTGGAGGTGGGTCTTTCTCATTTTATTTTACTTTTTGCAAGAGAGACTCTGTGGGTCTTTGTGGATGCAATTGTAAGAGACAAATTCTGTTCGTCTCGCTGGCTTTGAGCTGCAAGACGCCCCGAGCTGGTGAAACCCAAACGGCTGCCAATTGCCGCTGGATCCTTGTGAAATGAGCAAGCTTTTTGAAAAGGGCGCCCAAGATCCAGGAAACGTAGCGTGGCTGCAGCGCCTGGTTAAGCCACCAGCCCCATGGGTAGGGGGCACACATTCTCCTCAAATGCCCTTTCAAAATATGTTGTCGAGGGGGGATTGTGCGTTTGGTTCTTATCTTTTATTTATTATTAATCAATTAATTGAATTAGTATCGCACCCTGTACCTGCAGGTCTCCTTTTATGCATTTTACGCTTTTATCTTGTGATTTTATCTTATGAACCACCCGAGACCTGCAGGGATAGAGTAGTGTACAAATTTAATTAACAACAACAACCAAACTAATCTTAAAAATAAAATAAACCTGGAAGGTTGACCTTTCACCTTAATGCCACCTGCCTCGACTTAGCTCCTTCTCTCCTTCCAGCTCTGGATACCCCGAGCGCCAGCCACTGCTCGTCTGTCCCGGCCCCCGACAGGCTCCCTTGCGGCCCCCACCAAGTGCAGCAGGCGGAGTGTGTGGGCCTGGGCTGCTGCTACAACCCGACAGAGAGGGGGGTGCCTTGCTATTACGCCAAAAAAGGTGCGTTGGGTTTGGGGGTCATGCTGAGCCGGGAAAGATTTCCTCCCTCTCTTGCGACACTTGAACTTGCAGCTGTGCAACGAAGAGGAATTTCCTGGTGGCCATTGCGGCCTCCTGTGGCAGGGAGTTCCACAGTTCAACTGTGCTGCTTGAAGAAGTCCTTTCTTTTTCCTGTCCCAAATCTTCCTTGGACATCCCTGAACTCCACTCTTTGCTCCAAGGCCTTTCCCTCCTCCAGCAATTTCTCCAGCTGCTGGGGAGGGGAGAGTGCTGCTCTTACACGCTGCTCCTTCTTGCCCATTTTTCATCGGGGCATCAGGCTGACCCCTGTGGGGGCAGGAGGCAACACTAGATGGGCCCCCGTGGGCCTGATCCAGCAGGCTCTTCTGCTCTTGAGCTTGGCGACTATCGTTTCCTCCTGTGGCAGGGAGTTCCACAGTTTGCGTTGCTTGAAGAAGACCTTTGAATCTTCCAGCATCCGGCTTCCTTGTCTGGCCACGAGTTCTAGTGTTGCAAGAGAGAGGGGGGAAATCTATTCTCTGTCTGCTGCATAATTGTACTGTATAATGTTTTGTCCTTGTATAATCTTTGGAATGGGCAGGGTATAAATAATGAAAATTGTATTGTTTATTATAATCCCTTTGCCTTTTCTCTCCACAAAGAAGCCCCCAATGCTGCAACTGTTCCTCCATCGCGAAGAACCGAGCTTTTTGCAGGGATTAACTGGTGACGTCTCTTGTGATATGAGCCAGAGAGGACACCAGGGGTCATCTATCCCAACCCCCTGCCGTGCCATAATCTTGGGGATCTGTTCTGAATTTTAAAAAAGCAACCAAATTATCATTATCAATTTTACAAATTTGCACAATATTTTACCAAATACAAACCTTACCTTCATTATCAACTTCCCTTCCCCTTCCATTGATCATTTGACTAACCTTTTACCGCTGCATATTCTAATTATTCCATATTCTCTCTGTGTGTGTGTTTTACAACTGAAACAACTACCAGACTTTCAGAAGACATCTGAAGGCAGCCCTGTTTAGGGAAGCTTTTAATGTTTAATAGACAATTGTATTTTAATATTCTGTTGGAAGCCACCCAGAGTGGCTGGGGAAACCCAGCCAGATGGGCGGGGTATAAATAATATATTATTATTATTATTATTATTATTATTATTATTATTATTATTATTATATTTAATTATTAGCCGGGACGCGGGTGGCGCTGTGGGTAAAAGCCTCAGCGCCTAGGGCGTGCCGATCGAAAGGTCGGCGGTTCGAATCCCCGCGGCGGGGTGCGCTCCCGTCGTTCGGTCCCAGCGCCTGCCAACCTAGCAGTTCGAAAGCACCCCCGGGTGCAAGTAGATAAATAGGGACCGCTTACAAGCGGGAAGGTAAACGGCGTTTCCGTGTGCGGCTCTGGCTCGCCAGAGCAGCGATGTCACGCTGGCCACGTGACCCGGAAGTGTCTCCGGACAGCGCTGGCCCACGGCCTATAGAGTGAGATGGGCGCACAACCCTAGAGTCTGGCAAGACTAGCCCGTACGGGCAGGGGTACCTTTACCTTTACCTATTTTATTATTATTATTATTTTATTATTATTATTATTATTTATTATTATTATTTTATTATTATTATTATTTTATTATTATTATTTTATTATTATTATTATCATCATCATTTATTTCTTTATAGCTTATAGTGCTGAATTTATCCTAATCCTGTTAACGTTTTAATATGTCTACAATGATTTTTCAAATATTCTGCATGACATTTCCAGTCTTCCTTGAGAATTCTTTCATCGTATTCTACTAGCCACTTCTATATATTCTGTCAATTCCATCTGCTATTCCTCCTTTGTCGGTCTTGTGCCCTCCATTTATTCACGGGCACCATTTGTGCTGCCGTGGTTGCGTGCAGAAAGAGATTGATTCTGCTTGATTCTGAAGGTTCCCTTCCTCTCTTCCCGCTCTGCCCGCCAGTGACTGCCCGCTGCACCCCGGACGGCCACTTCTCCATTGCGCTCTCCCGCCACGCCACACGCCCCCCCCTCCGCTTGGGCTCTGTGCGCCTGGCCAGCGGTCAGGGGGAGCGCTGCGCCCCGGCCTCCAGGAACAACGGCTTCGTCTTCTTCCAGTTCCCGCTGTCCGCCTGCGGGACCACCTTCAAGGTAACGGGTGGGGAGACACACAGGTGCTGCCACCCGGCCAGAATGACACTGCGCTTCTTGCTCTCTTCCGCTTCTCTCTGTGGGCAGAGATCCTTTGGGGAGCAGAGGCGGCCGGGTCTTTTTTGGCGGCTGGGGAAAGGGCTGTGTTTATATGGAGTCCCTCCCCTGCAGGGAGGGTTCCCCCCACCAATGGCCTTCCTTTCTCTGCCCAGGAATCCGGCAGCCGACATGTGTATGAGAATGAGCTGGTGGCAGACAGGCAGCTCTTGGCATCCCCGTCGGGCTCCATCACCCGCGACAGCGACTTCAGGTAGGAAGTGGGGAAGCCGGTGCGGCAGAACAATCGGGAGCCGAGGGCCGGAGCCGAGGGCCGGAGCGCCTGCTTGGCATGCAGAAGGCTTGGTGCTCCTTATTCCTGCATCCTCCCCTTGGAACAAGGAGGACTAGACTCTTCAATAATAATAATAATAATAATAATAATAATAATAATAATAATAATATAATAAATAAAAATACAAAACCCCCAATGATTTCCTTGCTCTCTGGCAGGCTCACCGTCCGCTGCAGCTACTCTGCAGAGGATTCTCTCCCGGTCGGCGTCCAGATTGCCACTCCGCCTCCGCCAGCCGGGGTCGCCGAGCAAGGACCCCTAACGCTGGAGATGAGGCTGGCTCGAGGTGAGGGGCTGGTTTTGGGGGGCTGGAGTGGGGAGCCCCAATAAAGCACCATTGGCTCTCGTGGGGTCTCTGCTGCCCCTGTGCTGGGAGAGGGTCTTGGCTCAGGGATGTAGTGGCAAACTCAGAAGTTTTCCTCTTCCCTCCCTCTCCCTCTTTCCTTGTGTGCTGCACTTTGGGGGGGGGGTGAGATCATAAGCTTGCAAGTAGGGACTATCTTGATCTTATGGCATACCTGTTTCTATTTCTATGCCACCTTTCCACAGTTCAAACCATGCTCCAGGTGGCTTAGAATGTGAGACAAATAACTGCAGCAAAACAAAAGTAGTCATAATTGATAAATGCAGCATCAAATCATGCACAACCAAGCTGAACAATTTCTAGCAGCTCTGGGAGGCTTTTTGGCTGAAGAAGGGGGTGTGGATCCTTGAAATAAATATATTCAAAAGGGTCTTGCTTCCAAAAATGCACCACCTTCTAAGATTATACCAGATTCTTATAATTATGGAATCATCCAGCCAGTTTTTAAAGCCTCCAAACAGATACGCCCAATGCAATCTCAGATAAAAACTGTGAAACTTTAAAATCAATTTCTCAAACCCTCCATAAATTTTAAGTCAGGAGGAAAGGGTCTCCCCCTGGTTGGCTTGGGGAGCAGAGGGCCCTATCTGCCCCCTGCTGGTGGGACAGGATCCTTCCTCCCGGTCTTGAACGTAAACTGCACGTAAGAAGAGCTGAATCAGGCCCAAGGGGGCCCATCCTGTTCTCACAGGGGCCAAGTGCCCCAGAGAACTTGGGAGTTCTAGATAGACTGTCTCTGGAGCTGAAGGTTCCATTAGGGCATTGGAAGATGCTTGCAGCTGGGTTGGGCAAAGCGGGGCCCGTCTGGCCCGGCACCCTCTGCTCAAGCAGCCAATCAGATGCCCCAGTCAGAAGCCTGCAAGCAGGATCTGAGTGCGAGAGCAGCTCTCTCCTCTTGTAGTTCCCAGTAAATGGTATTCAGAAAAATGGAGGCCTCCAACTGCGAAGGCAGAGTAAGCCATCCTTGCTAGTAACCATCCATAGCCGCCGCCTCCTCCTCCTCCATGAATCCACATTTTAAAACCATCCAGGTCATCCCTATCGTCTGTGGCAGGGAGTTCCACAGCTTAACTAAGAAGTCCTTCCTTTTATCCGTCCTGATAGCATTCAGCTCCACTGGCTTGTCCACGAGTTCTAGTCTTGCAAGAGAGGGAGGGAAGCTTTCCTCAATCCACTTTCTGTGCCAAGCAGAATCATAGGATCGTGGAGACGGGCGGGATCCCGAGGGTCATCCAGCCCAACCCTCTGCAAGGCAGGAATATTTTTGCCCAACACGGGGCTCAAACCCACAACCCTGAGAGTCTCCTGCTCTCCCTACTGAACCATCACCACCTCCTGTGGCAGGGAGTTCCAAACTCTGCGCTGCAGGAAGGAGGACTTCCTGAAACTCCCAGCTTCCCTGGATGCCCATGAGTTCGGGTCTCTCCAGAGGCGGAGAAGGAAACCTTTTCTCCATCCAGTAATTTTTCCAACTTCTTTCCCTCCCCAGGTGCCACGTATTCCTCCTATTACTCCGGCCTGGACTACCCGGTGGTGAAGGTCCTGCGAGCCCCGGTCCATGTCGAAGTGCGTCTCCTTGCCAGGACGGATCCAGCCCTAGTCCTGGTCTTGCATGACTGCTGGGCCACTCCCAGCACAAACCCCTTGCAGAAACCACAGTGGCTGCTGCTGGAGGATGGGTCAGTGCTGGCTGGGCACAGGGGCGGAGACTTACCGGGTAACGAAAACGGGCGCATGGGTGTTTGTGGCGAGCCGGCTCGGTTTTCCAGAAAGACTCCAGCTTCTAGTTAAATAATAACATTTTATTATTTATACTCCGCCCATCCATCTGGGTTTCCCCAGCCACTCTGGGCAGCTCCCAAAAGATTAAAAACAGAATAAAACATCAAAACACTAAAAACCTCCCTAAACAGGGCTGCCTTCAGATGTCTTCTAAAAGTCAGATACTTGCTTATTTCCTTGACATCTGATGGGAGGGCGTTCCACAGGGCGGGCGCCACCACCGAGAAGGCCCTCTGCCTGGTTCCCTGCGACCTCATTTCTTGCAGTGAGGGAATCAGCAGAAGACCCTCAGAGGAGGACCTCGGTGTCTGGGCTGAACAAAGGGGGTGGAGACGCTCCTTTTTAGAGCAAGCATAGGCAAACTCGGCCCTCCAGATGTTTTGGGACTACAACTCCCATCATCCCTGACCACTGGTCCTGTTAGCTAGGGATGCTGGGAGTTGTAGTCCCAAAACACCTGGAGGGCCGAGTTTGCCTCTGCCTGGGTTAGGGCTTTAAAGGTCATCACTAACACTAGATCTAGCTGCTCGGCTTCCTTTCCATGAAACCTCAGGCCAAAAGGGTCTCAGGTGGCTTTCTGGCTGCGCTGACTACCCAACCCTCTTGCTAAGTATAATTTTTATACTTACCCTTTTATTTTAGAATTGTTTGATTCCCACTGAAATGGAGAATGCCTGGTTGTGCGTTGCTGGAGGCTTTAACGTGGGGATTTTCCATGGGGCAATATTAAGGTCTCTGAGCTCCTAAGTGGGTTGATAATCAGCTTTGGTTGTTCTCTGCAGGCTAATCTGTGAGTCTTCAACCTTAGATCACAGGGGGGCTGTGGATCAGCGTTAGAAACTCAGATATATAAGCTAATCACCACACGGCACCTGAAACACAAGTTGTGGTCACCACAGCGGAATGTCTAGGCACCTTTTTTCCTGTGGAATTTATTATTATTTAGAAAACTTACTATTTATCTCTTTGCCCAGTTTTCTAGTCTTCTGGTGGTAGCGCCATATAGTGATAGCCTAGTTGTTCATACTGAATCCTCATATTACGTCTCCAGAACCCATTGTAGTGGATTACACAAGTTTGTAATCTATTATTCTTAATCCTGTTTTATATTTTAAAGAAGAAAAAATCTCAAAGCGATTTGCAGCACATTAGATCATCATATAAAACTATCCAGAATGAAACAAATTCAGGCTTCAAGGAAAGAATTTCAGATCCTTCTCTCAGGGATATTTTGCTTTCCCTATATTTATTTACTGGCTTAATTTATAGAACTTCCCCCTAGCAGAAGGACTCTAGGAAGCCAGTGGGGTGTAGTGGTTAGAGTGTTGGATGAGGACTTGGGAGATCAGGGTTCAAATCCCCACTCCGTCATGAAGCTTTCTGGGGGAACCTGGCGTCAGTCGCGGCCTCTTCACCTACCTCACAGGGTCGTTGTGGGGATTAACTGAGGAAGGGCATGAACCATGGACTCTCTGGAGGGAAAAAGTGGGATATAAATGCAGTCAGTGAGCTCTTCTGTTGACCTGCTTAAGGAAGCCGGAGAGGCCAGTTGCCAACCTGGCGCCCAGAGATCTCCACAGGGTCGCAATTGGACCCACATCAGTTGCAAAACGCGCCTGGCGCCTGGCGGATTTCTAGCACTGCTGGAAGGGCGGAGCCTGGAATCTCTCCCCCCCCCCCGGCTGCAGCGAAGGTGAGACAAAGTTTTGACCTCAGTCCTGTTGAAATGCTGAGCCGATGTCTGGCGGAAGTACAGTATTGCTAGGCACCTTTGGGGTTTCTGCTCAAAGTTTTGGGCGATGTCTGATGGGCCTTGATGCGAAAGGAGTCCGTTCTGATGTGCCCAGTCTCAAGACTGCCAATCCCTCTTGCTCTGCCTCAGGTGCCCCTACAAGGGAGACAACTACCGGACGCAGCTGGTGCCCATCGGGGCCGACTCTGGGCTGCCCTTTCCAACGCACTACCAGCGCTTTGTGGTCAGCACTTTCACATTTGTGGATGGCGCTTCCCAGCAGGTGCTCTCTGGGCAGGTAAAGTCTTCTGCAGTGGCGCTGGGTTGCGGGGGTGGAGCTGACCGTCCCTGCAAGGAGAGATCTAGGGTTTGGGGGGGTGTGTGTGTGTGTGTGCGTACACACACACACACACACACACGAGAAATCTGAGGCAATTTGCACTTAAAGCCCAGCCTGTTGACAGAATGCACCAGCCCAAACGTGGAGCCCTTCTGTTGAACTTTGGATCTCTGCAGATCCTGCAATGCACTTCTCTGGCCAAAGATGCCAAATTGGAAAAAGTAGGGGTAATGTGTGTTACCCCCAAATGGTTTCTCAAAGGGTGTGGAGGGCCCCCCTGGTGTGGCAGGAGAAGATGGCCAGTGCGGTGGGGAAAGGAGGAGGATAATACAGTGGTGCCTCGCAAGACGAAATTAATTCGTTCCGCGAGTTTTGTCGTCTTGCGATTTTTTCGACTTGCGAAGCACGGTGTCGGGAAAGTTTTGGAAAAGCTTCAAAAACCTCAAAAAGCTTTAAAAACCTCAAAAAAGGCTACCACACCGCGTTCTATGAGTTGCTCCTCGAAGTCAAGTCGCAACTGTATTAACGGTGTTAAGAAAAAGGAAACAAACTTGCAATACGCTTCCGTCTTGCGAAGCAGCTCAAAAAACCAAAAACCCTTTCGTCTTGCGAGTTTTTTGTCTTGCGAGGCATTCGTCTTGCGAGGTACCACTGTAATGGATTTCCTTTTCATTTTTATTTCGCCCACCTGACAGCTGCCCCAGCCACTCTGGGTAGCTCCCAACAATACATCAAAAAACACAGAGAAGCATTAAATACCGTATTTTTCTCTCTATTACACGCAGATTTTTTCTCCTAAAAAGGAAGGGGAAATGTCTGTGCGTGTTATTGAGCGAATGTGGGGGGTCCCTGGAGCCGATTAGGGGAGCGCAGGAACAAAAATCAGCAAAAATCAAATCGTGCGTTGCGTCGGAGAGGGAAACCTGAAAAGAGGAAGTTGCTGCTTTCCTGCATTCTGCCTCAGGGTCTTACTGCCCACTCGCTTGTGTTTCATTGCTGTGTTTGCTCAAACGGAACAAAGAGCAGGCAAATCCCCTCCCCTCCAGGCAAGCAGAGGGGAAAGCAGAGGTCTTTCCTTCTAATTCCTCTCCGTGCTCCTCGCAGGCAGCCAGAAAACATGCAGGAGAGAGAGAGCTGGCTTCGGTTTGGGGAAACTTTTGCCTTTCTTTCCTCCCTCCAGTTAAATCCCTCTCCTGCATTCTTAGCCAGCTGCTTCTCTGCACACCGCTCTCGTGCTCATTGTCCCTTCTGTGTTTTTCCTTCCCTCCCCACTTAAAATGTAGTTACAAAGCATGGATCCACATGGATCCTCAGGATCTTTGGATTGGGCCACCCCAAATTCACCATCAGATCACATAGCAGCCTGCCCCCCCAAAATCACACACCCACTGTTGCCTGGGGCTGCAATGGTGCAAAAACGTGGTTAAAAAGCATGGATCCACATGGATCCTCAGGATCTTTGCATTGGGCCACCCCAAATTCACCATCAGATCACATAGCAGCCTGCCCCCCCAAAATCACACACCCACTGTTGCCTGGGGCTGCAATGGTGCAAAAATGTGGTTAAAAAGCATGGATCCACATGGATCCTCAGGATCTTTGCATTGAGCTACCCCAAATTCACCATCAGATCACATGTCTGTGGCCACAGCATGAAGCACAAAAATGATACATCCACTGTTTCATTCAGATTTTTTTTTCCTTGTTTTCCTCCTCTAAAAACGATGTGCGTGTTATGGTCAGGTGCGTGTTATAGAGCGAAAAATACGGTAATTTAAGTATAGTATCAAAAAATAAATGTATTTGCACAATATGAATAGATATCTTTTTGAAATGATGACAAGAGCAATCGAGATACTGAGGGCAATCCTGGCTGTGTTTCCTAATGCATTTCTTGTCGGCAAAAATAATGTGTAAATTTTTATTCTTAAAGAGTCGCCAGAGGAAAAACATTTGGGAACCGCTGCATTAAGGGGAAGCAGTTTTGCAAAACGGCGTCCATTAGGAGAATTTTTGCTTTATAAAATACTGTGTTTTAAGTTGTTGAAAGCTGCCCAAAATTATCATTATTAATATGCCCCAAAATGGAAATTTATTTTCCTATTGCTGGGGGGGGGGCTGCCTCTGCACCTCAGTGCTGAAGTGCTCAACAGAAAGCTTTGTGCAGGTGTTTATTAGGCTTCTAAAAATGGGCGTGGGTCACACTTGGAGTGCACTTGCAGTTGCCCCATTTGCCAATGCAGCGCCTCCACAAAGAGGGTCTGTGGGGCAGAGGTGTGGGGTCTGCAGTGTTTTTGCAGGAGTCCTTCAGCTCTGCACACAACCTTCTGACCCCAACCGGGGGGCTGGGAGACTCGCTTTGAACTTGCCTCGGTTTCCCCCTGCGGCTGCCCCTAAACCATCACTCTCTCTGACCTAACCTGGGGAGAAAACAGCAAAGACCTGATGAAGAGAGCACAGCAGAGGTTATATTGTCTGAGAATCCTCTGGAAAAATAATCTCTCAAAGGACCTGTTGATGGCATTTTACCATTGTACTGTTGAGAGTGTATTAACTTGTGGTCTGCGTGTGTGGTTTGGGAGCAGCACGATCAGGGAAAGAACAATGCTGTCCAGGGTTGTAAAGGCTGCAGAGAGAGTAATTGGGTGCACTCTTCCCACCTTGGATCAAATCTATGCTTTCAGGTGCCATAAGAAAGCTGCAGAGATAGCGCAGGATAGTGCACACCCCGGAAATGATCTCTTTCAGCTTCTGCCTTCTGGAAGAAGGTCCAGGGTTATAAAGACTAGGACTAGCCGCCTGAGAAACAGTTTCTATCCAAATGCGATTCTGGTTTTAAACACAGTGTAAGTTAGTCCCTGTGGGAGTATATTGTATTTAATTATGGGGTATCAGAGTTTTTAGGGGGCTAACCAGGTTGGGATAGCAGACTTGTTGGTTTTGAATCTCTGATGTAGATTTTTTCAATTTCATTGTTCTGCATGGGACAATGACAATAAAGACTATCATATCGTATCTCTCTCTGCCCCGCTTCCCCAATCCAGGTCTACTTCCACTGCAGCGCTTCTGCCTGCGCCCCATCCGCCCTGGAGAGCTGCCGCATTTCCTGCAACACAAATCCTCTTGGCAGGAGTGAGTCCCCGTTTATTTCTGCGGCTGTGGGGGGATTTGGGGGCAGGGCCAGGCCAAGTAGTGAGGGATCGTTGCACGGCTGTCGTCCAGGTGCTTCCCCCCCACCCTGAAACCCCCCCCAATGTGTTTCTCCCACCTCCAGGTCGCAGAGCATCGTCTGGGCAGCGCCGTCTCCCTGAGAAGTGGCTGACCCTGGTGACATCAGACGGCCCTGTGAACTTCTTTCACAAGGACGCGGACACGGTCGTTCACGAAGGTAACATGGGAGGCAAAATTTTGCGGGGAGTAGATTTTATTCAGTTGTCCCCCACCAGTC